GCTGCGCTGTATGGTGCTCTTTGGGCGTACTCAGGCTGGGACAAGGTGAGTCTGACGCTCGATATCAGAACTTCCGAGACATATACTGACATGTGAAGGCCATTTACGTTTCGGCAGAGCTCAAGTCTCCTGCCAAACAGTTGCCTCTAGCAATCAACTCGGCCATTCCCACTATCATCATCAGTTTCCTCGCGGCGAATACCGCCTACTATATCCTTCTCCCATGGGCTGTGGTTTCCACGACGGACAGCGTCGCTGTGGTACGCACTCTTCTTCCTCCACCGCTCTACCAACAGGCGCTGACATGTTAGACCTCCCTCACACGTCTTCTCGGCCGCGGCTTTGGCATCGCCGCTGCAGCCCTCATCTGCCTCGTTGTAGCTGGTTCTCTCCTCGGCAACTCTTTTGTCGCGAGTCGTATGGCTGTCGCCGCTGCCAACAAGAGCTGGTTCCCGCGCTTGTTCACGTACGTTGGCCGTGTTGGTCTCAAGCCATCGAACAGCACCGAGCCTGCGACGTCCGACGCGCCCATCAATGCGATTATTCTGTCAGCCATTCTGGCGGCTGTGTATATCCTCCTCGGAAACTTCCGAGCGTTGCTCACGTTCAATGGACTTGGCGAGTATACGTTCTTCTTCTTGACCGTGATGGGAGCCATCATCTTGCGATGGAGAGAGCCTGGGCTGGAGAGGCCGTACAAGCCGTTTGTCGTGGTGCCGGTCATTTTTGCCATTGTCAGTGGATTCGTCGTTGTTAGAGGTGCTGCGTTTGCGCCTGTCCAAGCCGGCGTGCTTGTTGGCGTGTGGGCGCTGGGTCTTGCGTTCTACTGGGCTAAGAAGAGGTGGTTTAATGGCAGGAACGCCTAGGCGCAAGTTCGTCCAGTGATCTGGAAGCGAATTGCGTGTCCACTATTGCTGGGATGTTTGTTAATTCCTAGAAACTGACTATAGACGCGTCCCGATGGGAATTGACATACCAAAGAGTGTGGAACGGTGGCCTGCATGTAATTGATGGTTCTTGTGCTGCACGAGATGACCTACCACTTCGGTAAGTTTCGGTGGAACAAACCCCTCCCAAGGCAACTGCCCGAAGCTCAGCAAAGAGCCACGTTCCTTCCTCCATTCATACAATTGCACGCGGGCAGGGCCGTTCTGCACGTTGAAACTGCAAAACCCAAGGGAAGCTTCCTTCAACTCACACAAGCTGCACGCAGTCAAGATCGTGCATGTTGTGTCGCCTTTTTCACCTTGATCAAATAAGTGAGCACAGTCACATCAAACACGCATCGTGAAAGCCCATCGGAACAAGCAGGCATCTTGGAAGTCGGCGCAACGCTCGAAGCCTTCTTCAGAAATAACGGCAGAGCGACAGCATGGCAGCAAAGGCCAACCTGCGAGATGATCGCAGTCCTTCGGAGAAAGAGTCTCAAGGCTCTGATCGCGATCGGTTCCCCAACACAACTGAGAACCTCCTGCACTACGATGCACAAGTAACTTCTTACCGGACCATCGGCACTATTCTGGAGCCTTTGCGCCAACTGGTAAGCTTGATGTAAACCGCCGGCAACAATGTCATAACTGATTCGCCACAGTTCTCCCCAGCCAATGCCGTTCGTCGCATTGAGAGCCTTGCTCGAGGCACACCTCAGTTCTTACGCGATGCCTTTCTCCCAGTCGATTACCCCGACTCCGTCTCACCTGACTACATCAAATACCAGATGTACGACTCGTTCCAGGCTTTCTTCTCGACCATCACCGGGATGCTCGCCAACCGCGCCATTCTCGAGGGCCTGGGTGTCGGCGATGCGTCCGGCTCGGTCAACCACGCATTGCTTTTAACATGTCTCAAGGATGGTGTGTCGCGTCTCGCCACGATCACCTTCGCCTACCGATTCGGCTCCGTGATCGAAGCGAATGCCAAGAAGTATCGGTTCCTCGCCGATCTATTCAATGACACGGCTTTCTTTCTGGAGCTGGCCAACCCTTTCTTCTCCGGCTGGGCCAAGATCCTCATCCTCGTCAGTGCCGAATCCCTTCGTGCTCTTTGCGGCATCGCTGCTGGCGCCAGCAAGGCCGCTCTCTCGACCCATTTCGCCCGACGAAACAACCTTGCTGAGCTCAATACGAAGGAGGCCAGCCAAGAGACGGCCATTGGTCTCATCGGCCTGCTCGCTGGCACCGCCATCATCCACTACGTTCAGAATCGTGGGGCTGTGTTTCTCTTGACGATCATCCTTGTCTTTATTCATCTGGGCATGAACTACCTTGGCGTCTGCGCCTTGCAGCTTGACACCGTCAATCGACAACGAGCTACAATTGTTATACAGCACTATCTCCGAACGCAGGAAGTCTTGACTCCGGCTGAAGCTTCCAAGAAGGAGAACATCATCTTTTGGCGCCCTCATATCGCAGATGAGCACAACAAGACAGTAGCTCACGTTCGCTTCGACAACAACCCAAAGGTCACATTCAATGCGCTGCCCACTAGTCCGAAAAATGCCTTCCGCATTCATATCAACCGGCATGTGCGGTGCCCGGATATCCGCATCTTCGTTTGGAATCAACATGCTGACCACATGACGTCGTTCCACGCTTGGTACCTAGCTTTACGGTTTGCTCTATGCTCCCAGGCCAATGAGCACAAGACCCTCCACGAAGACAAGGAGCCCAAAGCTCTTTTCGAACGAATGCGTGCCGTTGGCTGGCGCTTCCCTGAGCAGGGTCTCGAGACGGTTGACTTGAAGTGGGAACCCTTCTCAGTCGTTGCTGAAGCGAAACGTAAAGATTTGTGAAGAATGAGAATACCCGGCGTTTGGTTGCTTTTGGAATGGACAATGTGTCAGGCTGTGGCTTATGAGGAGACGCTGCAGGACTTGCCATTTGCGCTAGGTGGGGAGTAGAGCCCTGATAGCTTTCAACTGCCAAGACCCAGATTTCGTGTGCCGCGATACTCGCGAATGGCTCAGCAGCAGAGCTCCAAGTGCCTGTGGTCTGATTGCACCTGTTTCCATCGATACGGACCTATGCCGAGCATCTCATTGGGTATGTCTATCTATTATACACGTAGCTCTGTTACACACCGTCATCATGTTATACATACATCACTTCACACCATGCCCAGTCCCCGCATGGCACGCATCTTGACGCCCTCCCAGCTGTTCAGCTTTGGGCGCACATCGAGATAGAAGCTCGGCCGCCCCGCAGCATCCTTGCCGCCCGGTCGTCCCGCGTAAAAGTCAATCACGTACTCGACTTCGACGCCGCACCGGTCGACAACCCAGTCGTGCCTGTCGAAGGGCGCCGTGTAGCCGAGCAGCGTGTTGATCCGTGCCTTGGGCGACATGCGCTCCGAAAGACCACTGAACGAATGCAGCTTGGGGCCGCCGCACCTACAAAAAAAAAAAGCTTCAGTCAGCAGAGTCCCATAGACCTGGTTCTTTTCCCAACGGCTATTCGGGGAAAATAGCGGCAAGATGTCTGGGGCAGGCGGAACTCACGAAGTGCCCTCGGTATAGGGCCTCTCCCACTCCTTGATCTCCTTCCAGGCGCGCTCGTTGACGGCGTTGTGGATCGGCACGACCGTCTTCATGTCGGCGCCCTGCACCTGGTCGTGGCCCTTGCGCTTCATGGCGTCGAAGAACATCTTCTCGGACGGGTAGACCCAGTTGCCCGTCTTGGGGTCCGCGCCCGTGTCGGCCTCGTTGTTCGCTGGTCTCTGCTGCTGCTGCTGCTGCTGCTGGTCCGCGGGCGCAGGACAGGCTGCGTGGCCCGGGTTCGCGGTGCGCGGGATCGTCGAGACGACGCGGTCGGTCGTCAGGGCTGTTGTCGACGGGGCCGGCGGTTGGGGAGTTTGCGACTGGGCGGTGCTCGACGAGGGGCTGGAGCCGGAGCCGGAGAAGGGGATGTAAGAGCGGAGGGTTGAGCCCCAGGACGCAGACGGCGCAGCGGGCTGAGGTGACGGGATCGGGTGGTTCGGTGGGAGGGAGGCGTGAGGGTGAGGTGGTGCGGCGTCGGCGCCCGCGGCGCGGGCTTGCTGAAGCCAGGCTTCGCGGCTCTTGTGGTCGACGGGGCAGGCATCTGCCGGGTTTGGTTGATCGGGCATTGTGGGCTGTGTGTTGCGAGATCAGTCCTAGGCGTATCTCAGCTGGTGATGAGTGGTGTGGAAACTGCGCGGGCGCGTGTACAGGGGCGATGAACGGCGTTGGCGCGATGTCGTGATAGTCCTTGGAGTCTGCGTGGGAAATTTCCATGACTGAGGAAAGTTAAAGTGGGCCCTCGCCGTCATCAGGCAAGACACGACCTTAGTCATTCATCCAACCATCTAACCAACCGGCCCGGTGCGTTCACCCACGCGAAAAGATCCCGGGTCCAGCTGGAAGACAGTAATAGGTTTGTGATCAACGCTGGCTTTGACACAACTCATGCTGTTCGTGTCTGTACGCGTCAATTGACAGTGTTCACCGGCATCAAGCCGGCCCGGCTGCTTCGGGAGCACATGGCACACACGAGCAACAAATACTAAGAGATGCGTGTGCATTGGCAAGTAAACTATCGACATGGGCGCGTGCCATAGGGTGTATGGGCCACGGGGATACCCATCTGTCTCCAGACCGGTCCCCCTCTTCCTGTTCTGTTCCTTCGCCTCCGTCCGGTTGAATGACGGAGGCGCACCAGCCCTTCTTTCCAGGCTGTCACCGTAAAAAAAGAGAGAGCGATGGGTTTCACCCTGCACGCCTCTCTGATTCTGATCCACCACCACATGAGAGACGAGGCCGTGACGTTAAGTCTGCTCAACTCATACGCCTATTGTGGACTCGTAAATCGTTCTCCCATCACCCGTCCATGTCATTCCTCGCCCAATTTTTTGCTGCATCGCTCTTCTGCCTAAGCACCCAACACCGGCTGGTATCATAATGCCATCAGCGTGACTTTTTGTTGATTTTTTTGTAGGGGGATTTTGATTTTCGTTTTTGGTTTGGCGACTTTTCAACCGAGCACAGCTCAGCCGAAGAGGGAAGCGCCTCCCGACTCGACAGCCTCGAGCTCGGCCAGGGGAATGGCCTGGCGGCGGAAGCGGGCGGGAAGCTCGGAGCGGTCAAAGAACTCGCCCTGGGCGGGGCGGACGGAGCCCATCTCGTGGCCAGAGAGGCCGCCGATGCCGGGCTCGCCGTTGCCGGCACGGATGCTCTTCTGGAGAGGGCCGTGCTGCTGGGCGTGCTGGCGGTAGGAGCTGAAGTTGGAGTGCTTGGCGCCGGACGTGAAGCCCTCGGGGAGAGAGCCGGTGGGCGAGGCGGGATGAGGCTGAGGGGAGTGGTCGATGGACGCTGTCGAATGTGAGTGACTGTTCTCGTGCAAGTCGCGGCTGCGATTGCGGCATCACGGGAAACAACGTACAAGGAGTGGTGCGGCGGCCCAGGAAGCGAATGCTGGGGGTGCGCTCGGCGTGCGCAGCAGCCTGGCGGAGGACGCGAGTGGCGGCGAACATTGTGTCGTTGATGTGATGTGTGTTGTTTGGTGGGCGAGAGATGCTCTTGTTCGAAAAAGTTGCTGGACCGCGACGTGCCTGCTGATAAAGCTCGACGAGACTGGACGCAACTGAGAGCGGCGGAAAGAGGAATTGAACTCGGTCGAGGGTCGAGTTTTGTTGTCTTTAGTCGTGCGCGAGGCGGCGTAGCTTTACCAGCAGGGTAGTCAGAGGAGGTAAATTTGGTCGGGCGATGAAGGAGGAGAGGAGAGGAAGAGAGCGGGACAGCGGGACGGGGAGGAATCGTCCGATGAAATAAAAGAAAGTTGGCGCCCTGGGGCTGGTGCAGGGGAGCTAGGTAGGTCGAAGGTTGTGCAGGCAGGGGAGGAGACCGGCACGGCAGCCTTGGGGCCTGGGGAAGGGGGGGGGGGGGGGGGGGC